TCGGTGGTGCTCAGGGCTTTCCACGCCTGGCCTGGGGGTCCGAAAGAGAAAAGAGAGGACATGATAAAAACATCCGACGAATGGTTGCAGGAACTGGGAGGTCTTGTTTAATGAAAAGAAGGATTAGGGGTGACATGATAGCAGTGTTCCAATATCTCAGAGGCTACTACAGGGAAGAGGGAATCAAGCTATTCTCCAAACCAGAAGAAGGCAGGACAAGAAACCATGGATGGAAACTAATCAAAGAAAGATCCAACCCAGAAATAAGGAGAAATTTCCTGAGATTTCCTCAGAAATTACCTCAGAAATTTTCCTCAGAAATTACCTCAGAAATTTTCCTCAGAAATTACCTCAGAAATTTTCCTCAGAAATTTTCCTCAAAATTTTCCTCNATGGGATCTTATTGGCCTAGTGGAGGTAATTGGCAGTAGGCGGTCTCTCATGGCCTCCATCCCTGGCTCTCCAGAGATCATCGGTCAATGCGACCAAAGCGGTTTCTGTGCTGTAGCCAGGCCTGAAGCCAGACTGGAATGAATCAAGATGCAGCAAGTGACTGTGTTGTTTGGTAATATCTCCACTCAAGGAGTTGTTTTAGTGATAAGAACCTTAGCCAATGGAATGGCTTAATTTGTAAATATCCCTATCAACAGATATATTGGCTTCAATGAGTACCTTAAAGATTTGTGATAGAATATCTAACAAAAGGGAATAGGAATAGGAAACAGGGATATTGAAAAAAGACACCTTAACCCAAAGAAGGAGGAAAGCATGAGAATGAAATTCAAAATAGTTCTGCCTTAATTATGGTAGATATAATTTGAATGGAAAAATTGCTTTGACAAGCTTTCAAGATTCTGTTACATTGCCCATCCAGCAATAAATACCCAGAAATCAAAGTGCTTCTTGTTTTTTAGTTTCCAACAACGAGGAAATAAAAGAAATATCTAAAAACATTAATAACAATAAAGACAATAGTACAATGATGCAATTCAATTAACATTTTAAAAATAGCTATTTTGACATTATTCTCTCTTAAAAAAAATATTACTTATCTATTGCATTAAAGTAGACCATATGGAAATAATATTCTTCATTTGTTCATAATTGTTCTGAGTGGCATGTTTTTTTTCTTCCTCAGCTTGAAAATTATGTCTAGTGTTGTCTCCTTTTGTGATTACTGTGGTTAGTTTAAACTATAGCCTAAACTAAACTACCAGTTGATGCACTGCCAAGCCACAGTTACAGGGTGATTTTATAAATTGTATGAATATTCATTTTCTTTGGTAGACAAGTGGAAAACAATAGCTGTTTCCTGTCAGACCATAATTTTGGAAATTTCTCCCCCAAATATGCAAAGGTAACACAAGGATTTTAAAAAGCTCAACTGATTCTATCATATATTTCAGTTATGGATTGTATGCAATTTTTGAAAGATGAAAAACTTTTAAATCATTAAATAACAAAGGAAGCAAATATTCAAATATCCGAAGCTGAATTGACAATATCAGGTTAGTTAGGAAAAGTATGTATGAAGAATTTTGAGACAATATTATAAAATAGAGATTGCTAAAATACTTGCTTCATCTTCAGTGTATGACACAATAGAAAAGGGATTAAGATTAATCAGAGTACTATGAACTTTAAATGACATCAAAATAAATAATCATTTTCAAATAATTTTGTCCATTAAAATGCATATTTACATCTCCCTACTATATGTGTCTGTGATCAGTCTGTTTCCTCCTAGTATTATAGGCACAATTAACTGATGAAGAACAAGGAATAACACTAAAATACAAACTAGAGTAAGTGAATGTGAACAAAGCTGAAAGAAGGTTCAATTTACTGAGAAGAAAATTATAAGTTATTTCACATACAGTAAAAGTTTGATTCAGTGGATTGCCTTAACCCTAACCTCAATGAACAAAATTTTATATTGAAGAATAAAGTCAATTGTTCCTGAAGTATTCTGGAGAATTAATTTGATTTATGTCATTTGTGACAATTTAGGTCATTTAAATGATTAAATAATTTTTTGATCATTTTCATCAATTTTCATCATTTGTATAATTATAGAGCAATAGCGATGAAATAATTTGATATAGATGATGTAATTTAACAGATGACATAAAAACATCAGTTATGTAATTACATGAATGACATAAATTAGGTCAATGAAATACATTTGAATTAAATGGACATCCCTTTCTTCTAAATGGAGTTTTATGGTATAATATATAAAAGATGTAATTTGAGAGATTCATAATATAGAATAGCAGATGTATCTGAATACTATTTTTGCTTGATTTCATTCATTTATACTTCCTGACTCGTAAAAGTAAATTGGAGTATATTTACATATTAAAATCCTCTTTTCTTACAGTTTTGTAACCCACTTTGCAGCTTAAAAAATATGTGAATGTTAGAAGAAAGTTTAGACAGAAATGAACAGACTGTCCTGGTTCTAGGAGAATTGGCTGAATAGACTACATATGTTCTTGTATTTATGATGGCCTCATTTAATATGAACTTTGGGATGGATTGAATTTATTGTGTGTAGTCAGTGGAAAATTTCCCAGTCTTTTAAGGAGGGAGTTAATATGGATAAGATACAATGCATTGTCTTTATTCAAGAATAAGAGAAAAGACATGATCAGATGGACAGAACATTTGCAAATGCAATACAGCCAGTACTTCCGGAAGAATAGTTAATGAAATACAGAGGTACTGATTGCCATTTATATGTAGATTCTTTAATCTTCTCAAATGTTACGGAGCAGCATTATTGCTTTTATTATATAATCTGAGGAAAGTTGGCTGAATCTCGACTATTTGATTAGAGTGTATGGTTTGTGTTCACTCTATATCTTCTGGGTGCTTTGTTTGGAATGATTTAGAGAAACATGAATGCCTGTTTTGCTGCTGCCATAACATTATGAAAGGAGATAGGTAGGTAGAAAGATAAATGTTGATCTTAAATGTGATTTTACTGGGTTTTTTAAAGAACATCTGGGGAAACATAGCATCAACCATGACTATGTTAACACAGTTAAATTTTACAGTTCATCTTTTTCTTCATTGGTAGTTTGCCATATATAACGTTTCCTTAAGACAATAAAAGCAATTTTTTCTCCTTTAAATAAAAACAAGAAGTAAAAACAAGAACTAAAAACAAGAAGACATCTTTTTGTCTATAACATGTGTTTTATCTTTATTATTTATAATGTTAAAGCATTCTTTACTTTCCAGTGATTCCATCAGACACTGAGACTGAGATCAAGTGATTGTCAGAGACTACCCAGTGAGTTTTGAACAGGAATTTGAACCTGAATCTTGCTTGTGCAAACTCAGCTATACCAAATGCAATACCAGTTGGATTATAGAAAATGTCCAGCTAAAAGAACCAAAAGCATTAATAGTCAGGAGAATCTTCTACGAGTAGAAAGAGTAAAACATGTTAAGTTTCTTTTAATTCATAAAAAGGAAGACATAAACTGTATAATGTGAAGAAAATGGATACAGAGCTTTTTCTCTCTCTTACATTTATTGAAGATTGTAAAATAAATGGCTAGTAGAAAATTCAAAACACAACCATCTTCAAATATTTAAATAACACATAGTATTTGCTACTACAAGAGTTGGTAATGGCCATATAGTAGTTTACATACTTTTTAAAAAGATTTTGTTTAAAATCATAAAGTAGGAGTTTATACCTCTGATCATCAAAGATTAGGGAAATGACAAGAGAGCAATTCCCTGCATGTCCTGTTAGTGACCTTACTGGGGCCATTTCTCTAATAGGTGTTGATACTAAGATACTACAATGGGCTATATTTACATATGATCCAGCAGTAAAGTTTGTAACATTATAAAAATTATTACTGGAAATGAGTGTGTGTGTGTGTGTGTGTGTGTGTGTGTGTGTGTGTGTATGTGTATATATACAGTATATATTGTATATATATATCAGATTTTTATGTAAAATGTATTCTACAATTGCATGTTTTGCCTTAAATATGCAAAATATACATATATTGAGTTAGCTTAAAAACCCAATAAGATACTTCCCCCCATTGTTTGGGCGTGGATAGGTGCTATATTCGCAGAAACGTTATCTAATTCTATAACCATGCAATTATTTTGATATCAGGAGCTCAGTGCATTTCAGGTTACAAACTATGGTGTACAAACTACTTTCTTTTTACCATCAGTAGAGAAATTTCAAGTTTAGAATCCCATATAAACAAATTAAATGTAATTAAGGTTTACAGAAATTTGCTTGCACTGAGTTTCCTCATATAAAGATTATTTCTATATGGAAAATATCATTTGAGGCAGGTTCTCTTTCTCTCTCACCCTCCCTCCCTCTGTGTATCTATGTGTGTGTATATACATATAGCTATGGGCATCTAATCTAATCACACTCTAATCCAGACATTGGAGGTGTGTTACTCTTTAGAAAAATGTTTGGCTGCTTTCTTAATTGATTTCTTTTTCAAAACATTAAACACGTTTAACACATAACACATTTCTTGAGAAAGAAGTGAAACTCTTTAGTGTTTTGAAATGAAGGAGTTAATATTTTTATATTTTCCTAAAAGCTATGGCAACCGATTTTGCTGGATCAGCTCATAAAACAGAACAATCACAACATAGTGTCATTTGGTATAGCTACAATTCTTAAAACAAAATTTTAAATATTTTATTTTTCTATATATAACAAATACATGACAAAATCTTGTTAATCTGTTGTTTTTGGTTTTCCTGCAGATTGGTTTTTTGCAGATGAATGACGACTTTATATTTATTGAGCCGTTCAATCATAGTTTGGCTGTGATAGGTCAAGCGCATCGGGTATGCAGACGTAAAAGATCCATACGTGAAAGACCTTCTGAAAAATCCACCTCTCATAGTCAATACTGCAGTGTTTTTTCTGGTAATGTAATTTCTATTAATATATTTTAATTTAATATGTACTTTATGTAATTTTTTATACCTCACTGTTCTGTTTGCCTGACTCCTTTTACGGGAGTTTTCTATTACCTTCTCCTAAAACCAGTCTTCTCCAGCTTGGTGCCTTCCATAAGTGATGGACTTTGTTGCAGCCTCGTAAGTCCTCAGACTTACGAATAACAGCTCGGCAGCAGCCAGGAGCGTCTTAGCCAATCAGACACGCCTGCCGGTTGCCGGGCTGTCATACGCGAGGCTATTGGTTAAACCGTTTGACAGCCGGGTATAAAAGGCTGTCAAACATCGGAGACTTGCCGGTCTACTTACTGTTACTGTTGCTAAATGTTCTTGCTTGAATAAATGGTTACTGTTACCTCAGACGCCTCCATTTCTTCCTACTGCCGATCTAACACCTTCCATCCTTCCGAGGTGTGAAAACTGAGAACCCAGATTGTTGGGGGCAATATGCTGACACTGCAAACTGCTTAGAGAGGGCTGAACAGCACTGTGAAGCGGTATATGTCTAAGTGCTATTGCTATTGCTATTCTTAAGTATTCCCTTCCTCCTAG